CGGGTTAACGAATTTCTTCAAAGCAATAAAAACATTGTCCTCTCCATCCTAAAACACAGATAATATGTGTAAGACGTGTCAATCCCTACATCTCCGTGATGCATATTGCAATTACTATGGACATAGACAAAAAATTGTGAAAAATTTCTCACAAATAATGCATTTTAAGTACAAAAATCAAAAAACTATTAATGTTTATTGTTTGAATGCCTTTTTCACTAGTGGGGTTATCTATCTGTTACTCGCAGGGTTGCCAAGTCTAACGGCGATCACGTCCCGTGATGAAGGGTGCGACATGAATCTTTTACATTTGATGGTTTTGAATTTAAAGTAGGAATACAAACATAGTATTTACGATAGTTGGAGCTAGACTGATAACACTTCTTGAAGAATATTTAAAAAATGTGAACACCGTCATGGTCTGTTGTCAAATTGCAAATGAAGTATCTAAAAATTCTTACATACAGTGGACCTTCGTCATAGTTTACTATCCTGATTATGATCATTTTTAACAGACGTGTTGTATCATCAAATTGATGAACAAATATAAGAAAGCTCTTATATACCTACATGCAGAGGTTTTTTCATGTAAATTTACTAGGTATCATGATCATAAGCATCTTTGGTGGATTGTTCGATCCGGAATAGGAAATATCTCCTATTTATGAAAATATTTTTGGTATCATCTAACCAGAGCACAAACACTGTGACATATGATTATAGCTTAACCCGCTGCCCTATCAATGCAAATTTAACATACAGGTCGCCTAGCCGTGGGGATGCAGTGGTCGGGATGAATATCACGGCAGCAACTGATGATTTGGGTATGTCTGGTAAGAACGTATGAAGTGAAACTCGCAGTCACTCTTTCTGACACAGTCCGGATCGAAAGATGACGATACTCGTGAAATGTATTGATACTTCTAAATATAGGATCCTATCGAACATCCCTACTGTCAAGATGTATAACCCAAGGTACCGACGGAGCTATTTTGCGGCGTCATGGAAATAATTTTAAATTTTCATTTGCATTTTTTTCAAGTGTTGTGCAATGATTTTGGGAAAAATGTCACGAATAGTCTTATAACGCATAGTACATAGTCATGCCATAAGTTCTGTCCCTCGTTTTCAAACAAGTGTAGACCTGTTAATACTTGTCCGATTGTTTACATTGTGGTGTCAGTTGATTAAGCGCTTTTCGGGTAATTACATATACCTCAGTTTGTATTGATCTCTCGAAGCATAACGATGGAGTGGGGCAAGGCAGAGAACCGTATTGCAGTGATAGCTCTACATAAGTGTAATCACAGTGCTAGTCAGATTTTTGAACTCTTACGCGGCCTTCAAATATCGCGTAAATTTGCGTCTAGGACCATTCAGCGGTACAATGAGACGTCCTCTGTTGATGACAGGCCAAGAAGCGGAAGACCTCGTCAAGTAAGGACTCCAGCAGCCATCAAAGCCGTAAAAGCCAGGATTCAAAGGAATCCACTCCGGAAGCAGAAGATCCTATCCAGGGAAATGAAGATTCCTGTCCGGACGATGTCGCGCATCATTAAACAAGACCTAGGGCTAGGGGCTTACCGGAGACGTACGGGCCAGCGACTTACGGCCACCTTGCGACACATCAGGGCGACAAGATCCAAGAAGCTCTTGGAGAGGTACGCAGCTGGGGGATTCCGAAAGATTTTGTTCACGGATGAGAAAATCTTCACCATAGAAGAAAAATTCAACCGACAAAATGACAAAGTGTATGCAAGGAGTTCACAGGAAGCTTCGGAGATCATTCCGAGAGTTGAGAGAGGCCACCACCCTGCGTCAGTCATGGTTTGGTGGGGGGTGTCCTACGAAGGGGTCACTCAGCTCCATTTCTGTAAACAGGGCGTGAAAACAAAAGCGGCAAACTATCAGAGCGACATACTGGATCCTATCGTCAAGCCTTTAAGTGGTACATTGTTTGCCAACCAACACTGGGCCTACCAGCAGGATTCCGCCCCCGCTCACAAGGCTAAGAGTACGCAGCGCTGGCTGGAAAGCAATGTGCCAGAGTTCATTGCTGCGGAAGATTGGCCCTCAGGGAGTCCGGACCTCAATCCTTTAGACTACAAGTTGTGGGACCTGCTAGAGCAGTTGGCCTGCTCCAAAGCCCACCGTAATATCGAGTCCCTGAAAGCAGATTTGATCCGATCAGCGGCAGCTATTCCTTTGGAAGCTGTGCGTGCAGTGATAGATGAGTGGCCCGCGAGATTGAAGCAGTGTGTGAAGGCCAAGGGGGGACATTTTGAATAAAACTGTTTGATTATGAATTCTAAAAATGTAGTCGAATAAATAATATCTTTCATATAAATATATCTTATCTTGTTTCATTTTTATCATGAGATTATCATGGGACAGAACTTATGGCACGACTACGTAGAGTATATTTTAACAGTTGGCGGAACTTACTTCACTGGGACCAGGAGCTTGAAACAGGATATTAATGCACAATCTGGCAAGCCTGTCGCACCCCTCACAAAATGGCCGCTGATAACCACACAAGTCACGTGTTGTCGTTGAATAGCATGGAATTAAACCTTCAGAGTATAATATGTTTTGTGACTGGTGAAATGCAATAATCAGCTGTATTCAAATAATGTCTAATATAAATATAACCGAGATAACGTAAAAACGATTCAATTCATATTTTCTAACCGTTCCAATACGTTCCACTGATCGCAAATGTATTCTCCCTCACTAACATTATGAGACACAAATGTCAATTCCAAACTTCTTTGGTCTATCCTCCTTCTTCAACGTCACTGTACTCTATGTTTTGTGGCCAGTTGTTTTGTGATTTGTCAAAAATGGAATTTTTTAACAACAAATTTCCGTATAAAAGTGCTCCCTCCAAGATTTTTTTGTGAAGAAATACATATTACACTGTCGGGTACACGTTAAATCTGCACTAACCCCTAAATACGTGGTTATGTTGAATGTACCATGTACCGTCACCGATGGTGCGACTGATTATACACTGAAATTTTTTAATTGCAACTGCAATTGTATGTATGAATGTTGAAACTGTTGAACAGTTTCGGACCAGTGAGGTTAAAGCGTATGAAAGTGTTGAAATGCAACACCTAACAAAAATTTGAGTGAAAAGACTTTTTCATGTAAGGATTTGGAAGTGCAAGGTTCCAATTGTAGGATAAACTATAAGCACACAGTAGGTGATATAATCACATATGTATTACAAAAGTTGCAATAAACATGGAAAAGCCTTCAGCTAATCTGAAAAAATAGATTTTACTCAGACATCAAGCATTTTTTTAAATTTTGGTTCAGTTTTACATAATTTCATAATATTTAATAAACTGAAAAGATTTCAATGGCAAGCTGTCACTTCATATTTTACAGTGTTTTGTTTAGAATACCTTGATGCTATTTGCTGCCAAGAATTTGACGGAGAGATCTTGAGGCTGATTGGGTATATTTAACGGACTGTTTGGTACTCGTACCCTATTGGTGCAGAATAATGGTTTGTTAAATTGTGAAATCCACCCTTAGAGACAGTTTTTATATGTCTGACATTCTCTAGAAATTAGAGTGTTTCTTCCAATTATTATTAGTGAAATAATGAGTTATGTAGCCTTGTAGAGACTGAAATGGAACTTGAAGTCGTGCAAAGTCAAAACAATTTTAGATATACGTAATCTGTAACGCCATGTACAGAAAGTTTGAACTTCCCCTTTTCAGAGTGAACTACGTTTGCAATACCGTAGTTAATTTACGTCAAAATAACACCAAAAACGTGAAAAATAAATTGAAGAAAAATACTCACCATTCATTTGGTAAGGAATTACAATTGCCACATGTTTTGCACTGATTCAAAAACACGAGCTTGCTTACATTTTCGTAAATTTGCAACATTCGGGGCTGTCTAGGTCTTCAACTGTGTTCAACCAGATCGCCTTTGCTTGATATAAACATTCATATGCGGCTCTGATGGAAAGAAACATCGAGGACGACGGTGGCGTTTCAAGTACACCCCAAAACTGCTGATAGGTGCAGTCATACAATTTTTTAAACTAGAAACCATTTGTAATATGATAAATATAACGGAAACAGTGTTGGAGCCAAGACCGATCCTTGTATTGACATTGTGGATCCTGTCGGCAGATACCCGAATCATTAAGAAACACCCTGTACTTCGAATAATGAAGTATTCCCCTATGTGTTGACTTTAAAGGAGTTTTCAGTGCGCCCGTGAGCGACCTTCATTTCTAAATTCAGCGCATCCGCGCAAACGAACAAAACAAACATCCCCCGTAATTCCGTCGGCTGTCGGTGGGCGCTGGGCGATTTGATGCAAATACAGCCGCAGTACCGGCAGTAAAGCGGAAACGGCCGAATAAATAGGACGACGCAGGGCGGGACACATACGGGTCAATATTCCCACACTGGGACATTTAAGTCCTCTATATGTGCCACATAAAAAATATCTAGTATTTAGAAGACCGTGCATTTACTCAATGCAGTATGGCTTGTTTGTTTGGAAATTATACAATAACCGAGATTTTAGTTTGTATACTTTGAATTATTTAACATTTTTCAAAAATCTCAATACACGGGACTGACACGGTTACACGGAACTGACAAAGAAACAGCAGGATAGTAAACATGCTTTGCATTTTTTATTAAAAAATAGTCAGGTACAAAATAAACTCAAACAATGTATTCTGAAACAAAAACATAACGTTATATTGAGCGGCTACTTGGAAACTCTGCTGCTAATTGACCATTTTTTTTCCACTCGGACAAAGGAATATCATCATCTGAAGAACTTTCACTGTAAACATTGTAGTAATGTAGCTTCGCTTTATTCCCTTTGTCAAAAATATATAATTCTTCATCAGACGCAGAACTTTTCGTTACCGAATTATAAGATAAAGTTCCAATAGTGTAATGAAACAGGAGAGCTCTCTTAGAGATAGTGTGTTGTGGTCTCTTAGAGATCTTACTTGACGAACCTTCAAAGTTCCTTTAAATGGCAGAACCTCAGCTTTATTTATAGCATCTGAAAATTTTTCAATTTCACAAGCATGAATCTCCAAAAAGGATATGCCTGAGCAGTTGGCTTTCAGGATTTCAACCAATTGGCTGAAAGAACTCACATCAGATCCCTGAGCAACAGTACGGTCTGCACTCTTTTTACAAACTCCACCAATGCCGTCCGGGGCACCTTTACCATGTCCGGCCTCATGGTAGTTCCAGGTATTTGATTTTAGTTCCGGAAAGTAGCTATAGATGCCATTTGTAATGAATGCAAACATTTTCTTGTTGCGGTATTGTGTACTGGGGCTGTCGCTAAGAAAATGCAACAATTTTACCCTATTATCAATATAGAGTTTGATCAGTGGAAACAGATGAGCCCATATGGCACCGGGACCATGCTCCAACGACTCTGATAATGTACAAAAACTGTCAACCTTCAAGTCGTTTTCGTGTGCTCGGCTATAAATTACCACAGTATGCAACGTAATCTGTTGCCTTGATCCTCCAAAATGATAAGACTGGACTTCTTCTGCGTACTTTAGATTATAATTCTCAGAAAAGTCACAGTGAATGAGTATTTCCTCATTTGTCATGTTCTGTTTCAGTGTCTTGATTGCTTTGTATTGGTGAAAAATGCGTCCCTCGTGTGCCAAAAAAAGAGGCAACCTATCTTCAAATTTGGTCAAAAGATCCGATATTTCTATCTCTTGAATAATTTTAGCACTTTTCAAACTGGTAACGTTGTTTTGTGATCGTTTGCTGAAATAAGTTTGTTTTATGTTTTTCCACTGACTATATGATACAACGTTACCAGGATCGTACTGCTCAATATATTTAGGTTTATATAATGCACACACTGAACATTTCCTTAGTAGACATAGGTCATTGCGGGTCTCACATGTCATTGACTCAATTATTGCTTCTGTAGTTTTGCAATGCAACACTTTACTTTGCCAAAGAGATAATACAATCAACTCCATGTTACTATGTGTTATACATTTACATGTGTCTCGATTTGCTACCTTCATAAACTTTATCCAGAAAGGTTTACATTTACAGAAAAATGTATAACTCACCTTGACATCGGCGTATTTTTTACAAAACTCTTTGAACAAATTCTTCAAAGTGTTTGTTAAATATCTTTTTTGATAGGTGAATTTATTCTTTGTAACATAGTCTTTCTTACCGGGGCAAATCCGGCTATTAACATCTTCCTGTAAGAACGCCACAATTTTATTCCTATTTTCAGATGCTCTTCGGTTTTTCTGATACTTAACATCTACATTCCTATGGCTGTATTCCACTACTCTTGTTTTTGTATATCGAAAAACTTTGGAACACGTTCGCTGAAGCTTGTACTTCTTAATAATTTTTCCATCCATTATTTTCCTAAATACCTTCTTTTCTTTTGGGCTTAACGATTTATAACTCTCTGACAGCTGGTCCTTGATGGTCTCCCCAAAAATAAGTTGTTTTTTAATTCCATCTACTCTTTTTTGTTGTATTGAAGACCTTTCTATGATCTGTTGTACTCTAGTTCCAGGTGAAACTGATGGGGAACTAGTTTGTTGAGCAACATTTTTATTTTGATGCATTGACTTCTTTAGGCGAGAATACTTTTTCTTCCACTTTCCAACTTTTTTTTTAAGGTCTGCTATTTTAGCTTCATTTTTTCTTTTTTCTCGATGTCGCTTAAGTTTCATTCTATTACTTTTCTTTATTGCATGTTCCTTTCTTCCATCTAACTGTTTCGTTAAATGGTCTGGCACATGTGCGTTTTCGGATGATCTTAGTCTTAATCGATCTCGGTGAGACTTTGTATATTGTCTCCATTTCTTGCGTTGCGATCTAATTTCTCTTTCTGTCATTTCCGAAACAAGCTTCCTTTGTTTATTCTTTCGTTGACGCAAGTATTTCTGATGCTCTTTTTCCCGCTGCTCCTCACGTTTTTCCGGATCTTCTCTTATTTTACGCCTCCGTTCTCGTTCCCGGTCACGTTTAATATGCTTTCTTTCTTCATCAGATATTTTCCTATGTCCAGACATCTTACACCCTGCTATAGACTAGTAGATGGACCTGTGAACTGTAAAAAATACTTGCATCAATGCATGTTTGCTATAGTTTTATAGAAAAAAAAATGGAATCAAGTCAGTTCCGTGTCACACAGTCAGTTCCGTGTTTTCGCAATGACACGGGATTTACAACCACGGGACTGACATTATTGCACTTACAGCAACAAAAAAAGTAATCGGTTCAAAATTTCTAATTAATTTTAGTATGACAATTATGGTTTTTGATACCCGAAGTACTCATGGGGTATTTGAAGCAAAAAGAAAAAATAGTAGCTTTAAAACACTTACCACGGTACTGACAAGAGACAGGTTTCCAAGACACTTTTTTACTTGTCGGACCCAGTTCCTGCTTAACCTATCAGTAATCTGTGCACATCTTCCGACGATTGAGCCAATACTAACAATTTCCAGTTGGGATAATACGGATGTCACTTACCATACCTTCCCCCACTACTTTATGGCGTGATATATGGCGCGGCACGGGACTGGCCAGATAGCTGGAGACAAATGCTTTCCGAAAAATTACTAAATTAATTATTCTTTTTGTTTCACCAATTTTCTATATTGTGGTTAGCTATGTGCATACTTGCGATATAGGTATATCAAGTTTTCAAAACAGTACTTCAGGTGAAAAAAATGGCAGGTATTATCAAGAGACATCCGCTAGGACATGGCACGGGACTGACATTTCAGTGGCATTTTCCCAGTTATTTTGTTCTAAATGGAAGATAAATATTTCATATAGTGTGCAAACCGTAAAAAATATGTAGCCAAACGCATCGTATCAGATAATTACATTGAAAAAATTATAACAAATCAGTTATTAAGAGGAACTTACGATGACTCATGTTAGGGATATTAACCCATACACAAATAAAATAAACGACCCGAAAAAAGAATCGTAAAAACGCAAATATAGCAAATAGATCCAATAAACGAATCGAACGGGACGCGACCATATGTCACTCACCCTCGCTCGAATCAGCCGAAGCGTCAAACAAACTACGGGGTGGATCTGACCGAAGTTTTTGAAATGAAGATATTTTGATGTTGACTTGAGAGTTATATTTTTTCTAACATGCCTTTTTTGCTGAAGTTGTATTCATATAAGCTCCAGCTCGTTGGAACCAGCTTTGGGCGCCAACATGGTGTGATGTTTATTCAATGGCAAGTAGACCACATCTACTTTACAGCCAGAATCGTCAGCCATCTAGCGGTCACGAAGTGACTATGCTATTAAGCGTGAACTGAGATCTTTCCAATAAATAACAGATATGCCCTGTTCGCAGTGGTCGATTCTGCTTTCCGCGGTCTTATTTCGATAGAAGATAGTTGTCCCAGAGACGAGAGACGAAGCGTAGATGATGCTGATGAGTAGCTAAGAAGCACGAACGAACGAAAACATAATTATAATAGCCTTTATTTAACCTGGCGAGCTGCTTTTCATACCAACCAAGGCCAATGAAAATTACAATACAAAGCTCATGCATTTAAAAAAAATATAAACTATGTGGATATAAACCTATTAAGAATAACTTACAACAAACACCAACATGCTAAAGTTTACAAAAGAAAATATTGTAGGTACTTTTGGCAGTTAAACAAAGGAAAAGGTGAGATGTGGAGATTGAGAAGACCTTAAGTTCAAAAGGGTCTATGTACCATTTAGGTATTTAAACGTTATAGATATTAAACATATATTTAGGAAAAACAGTGAACGCGATATTTATGAATGCTTTTTATTTAAAAAATATGACACAATAAGTATAAGAACCTATTTTAAATATACTAAGTGACATATAAATCCGAACACCCAGTTTAAATGGTTTTATTTTAATAAAAGTTGGTGAATGTATTTATCTTACTGTAAATAACAAGTGAAAAACTGTTCAGCCTTATCAGTTGGACATTCCGGTTTTTATACTGCTTTTTTTTAATTCACTAACGCTCTAAAAATGAATATTTCAGCCGCAGTAAAGAATCAACGTTGGCGGATTTTGGTTCTTGACATCCTTTACGATCGGTTACGATGCCTAGAGTACGGAGACCTGTACGATTTCGTCAACTTAGTGAGTTTGATAGGGGCCGTATAGTGGGACTTCGGGAAGCTGGACTTTCTTTTCGGGCAATTGCAGTTAGAGTGCAAAGAAGTGTAGACACTGTGGTTAGGTGTTGTCAGGCATGGCTTCGAGAAGGCCGTACGCAAAGAGCAAGGGGCACTGGACGCCGCCGTAGAACAACAGACCGTGAAGATCGCCGCCTAAGGTTATTGGCCTTAAGGGACCGTTTCTCCACTACCGGGTCCATTGCAAATGAATGGTTTGCAGAACACGGAAGACCTATTGGCATGCGAAGTGTTTACCGACGAATGAGAAGTTTTGGCTTGTTTTCATACCGGCCACACTGGGTCCTCCCTTTAACTCGAGAACACCGACGTAATCGCCTTGAGTGGTGCAGACAACGGTCACTCTGGGATCAGGAATGGAACAGTATTGTCTTTAGTGACCAGTCTCGATTTTGTTTAGGCATGCACGATGGTCGTGCCAGGGTTAGAAGGCGACGTGGTGAAAGGAGGAATCCACAGTTTTTTGTTGAAAGACATGTTCATCACACTGTTGGAGTTATGGTTTGGGGTGCTATAGCTTATGGTTCCAGGTCTCCTTTAATCTTCATCAGAGGTAACATGAACGCGCAGCGTTATATCCACGAAGTTCTAGAACCCCATCTTTTACCCTATCTTGACACCCTGGCAGATCCAACTTTCCAACAAGATAATGCCCGACCACATGTTGCAAGAGTCACAATACATCTCTTTCAACATAATGATGTCACATTGTTACCATGGCCACCAAGATCTCCCGACTTATCCCCAATTGAGCACGTGTGGGATATGATGGGTAGGAGATTGCTCAATTTGCAACGTCCTTCTCAGACTCTAGAAGCACTTCGAGAGGAGTTGGTGGTTGCCTGGAATGAGATACCACAGGAGGACATTGACCACCTGATCAGAAGCATGCCTAGGCGCGTTGGAGAATGCGTAGCACATCAGGGTGCATCCACACATTATTAAAGGTCAAAGGGTTTTAAAGCAGTGCAATCATTTTGAAATTTTTATCATTTACTTATTATGCTTCATTAAGTACTTATTCAAAATTTTATTAAAATAAAACCATTTAAACTGGGTGTTCGGATTTATATGTCACTTAGTATACATAGAACACAATATTTCATTTTCGAAATGGAAAACTAAACTTGACATTTGTAAAAGGGTTTAAGTCCATCGACATTTAATACAAAAAAAGTTTAAGTGCCAGAACTAGAGGAAGCCACGCAGTAATTTTTTTGTAATTCTACCAAGTTTCTTGTAGTATGGCTGATTTTGGCTGGGTATATACGGTATCATGTCTTCCAAATTTTTAAGTTTCTCTTTGGTAATGCGATGAGGTACATTTAGATTATCAAGAGTGATTTTGACAAGTTGATCGTTCTTTTTTAATTTTTTTAAAACATTGACAGTCTGCCAGCCTTCAACTACGCTAATTTGTTTTTAATGTTAATGTTTACAGGATTATCTTTACTTCCTTTTAGAGTTGATACTTTAGATATACTAAGTTTTGAAACGTTTAGGTATAGGTCGGCAGCTTTCTGTAAATTTTTAAAGTGTTCCGGCTTTATAGACATTGTCCACAATATTTTTTGCTTTTATCATTTCTTGGACACATTGGGGAGTGTAGCACTTTTCGACTCTTTTTCTTTTCTCGATCAACGCGAAATCCCTATCGCAAGGCATATAAAAATGCTCACTGACTAAGAATATTCTCTCTATTTCATCAATCTCGCTTACTACCAAAAATATGAAGGCCATAAGTACCATCCTGTTTTTCTTTTGCCCAATGTAGTTGTCTGACCATATATTAAGCTTTTTTCCATATTGGGAAAGACGACGACTTGCAACAACATTAAGCACACATGATGCAATCTCGTTTCCTCCTCTATCAGCAATGGTTCCATCACAGATACACATTATAGCTCGATTTGTATTGCCAATATGAATACACAAATTATACACAGAAAGTCGCCTGCTGTAGAACATTATTTGGCCGAGTTAACGTGGGAATGAAAATTACTTGTAAGTCCATACTGACAGTACATTGATTACTACCGATTTCTGGCACATAGACCCTTGTGAATATTCTTCATAATGGCACATAGAGATACGCTATGAATATTCCCACCATCTCCACCTTTTGGGAGTGCGTTAGAACATAGAACCTTCTTATTATCGTTAGGTTTGGTATATTGACTCTTTTAAATCAAAAATCTGATTTTTGGAATTTTTGCCATTTAGACCCTTTTGCAGTTAAGGCCTTCAAGCAAACAATAGTGTTGGGAAAGGAAGTAGAATAAAAACAGGAAAAATGTAATTCCGACCGAAAAAATAAGATATACTTACATTTAACAGAAGTACCATTTCAGAAGTTAAAAACTATACAACATAAACAATTATGACGTTTTTCCAAAAATATAATATGATGATTTTGCAAAAAAAAACGGAATAATCACACATTCGTCGTCGCAATGCCAACTTGTAGGATACGATACAGGGTGCGTTTGACAAATAATGCCGTGTGGCGCTGTAGTCAGTGGTTGTAAAAAAATGTTAGATCTCACTGACCGGATCATGAAGTTATGCACATACAGATATAGATGTGTATAATTTATAATTTGTCTTTAATATACAGAGTGCTTCTCAGTGACCGGTTGACGGGCAGGTGTTCCACGCTATGATTCCTAAAATAATGTTATGAAAAAAATGTTGTGATTTTAAAAAAAGTGGTTTCTATTTTTATTTTCGAAGCTACTTTATTGCGAGCGCAATGCAACATCATAGTAACTAAATTTTGTGCTGTTCGTTATACAGACTTTGTTGATGTTGTGCGATTACTGTTACTTTGCAGTTGTAGGTAAAACTGGTGGGACACCAGCAAATGATACAGAAAACTGCTTGGAA